CCAGACCGGTACCGGACTGGACCGGCCGGTAACCGGTACCGGTTCCATCTCTGGAACCTGTTGTTGAAGACATTATATTTATTTTTTGATATTATGAAAAAAAAAATATAGTTTTGATTCATTTAGTTTGTTAAAATAATTTCTATCCTAGGAATTTGAACAATTGCATCTTTCTGTTTATTTTCGTAAACTGCTCCATATCCATTCACTATATTTGCACTTTCATTTGTTACATCACGAAAATACCAAGTCATTTTATTCTTTTCTTTTGGTCTTGTTTCTCTATCGACGAACTCACTACAACACCGCCATGTCTTTTCCACTTTCATCAATTCGTCATATGTTAATATTCGATTAAATAAACTAAATGAATATCCCATTGTCAATAAGAATGTTCGATTAGTTCGGTGATCTAGTCGAACATATCTTTTCAAAAAATGATTACCAAATGTTTGATAGGCAAGTTTCAAAAGATACATAGTCTCACGCGGACTGTTAGTGTGTTCTTCAGGAAATGATTCCCAAAAAGAGAAAATATGATGTAGAGAAACAAGTCCTTCTAAACCACTTTCTAAATAGCCGTCCATATCTCCGTCATGGTCCATTTGATGAAAATTTTTGTTTCGTGTCAAATTTATTTTTAATACTTCAGTAATACACTTGCCAATCATCTCGTCACCACCAAACATCTTCGTAAATCGTTGACAATCTTTAGTATGTTGTGCTGCTCGTGATGCTAAAGGTCGACTTAAAATAAAACCACCACCTCCATAAGCGTAATAAGTTCCATGATATTGAATAGCTCCTAATTTATCAGAAATATTACCTAAATAGATCGAATTAGATGCATTATAATATTCTAATAATTGTAAAAGAGTGTTTAAGAACCAAATAGTATCATCATCTCCAAAAGCAAACCATTGTATTGTTTTCATATTAGTATATGAACTTTTATTTAATGAATACCAAGCTTGTTGAATTAATTCGAGATATCTTTCTTCATAACGAGTGACATTTGAAGTTTTTATTTTACATGAAATTCCTTCATTTTTTAGATATCTTTTAATATAATTCTTAGATTGCAAATCCTTGCTTTCAAAAATAATTAAACATCGAATACCAAGTCGTGTTGCCCAAAATTTTACTTGATGAATAGTTTCTCGAATTCGTCCTGTATTGGTTGTAAATGTAAAATAGATTTGTTCAATATCATATTGGTAGACAGGTCTGCTTATAATTTGTTTTATCGGTAGTTCTTCATAATCATAACTAAATTCTTCGAGTAGCACTTTTCTCGTTATGGATGTTTTGTTATGAACTAATGTTTGAACAAAAATTTGTTTTTTGGTTTGTTTTATATTGCTGTCAAATCTTGGAATATTAATATCAACATATGTACTAATTTTTCTCCTTGATTTACGATAAGTAAAGCATGTTAAACAATATATACTGAAAACTAAAAAGCTTATTATCACGATTGATTTGTATAAATGTCTTGTATTATTTAATCTATTCATTTATATCATCACTAATGTTGATTGATAAGTAGAGAGACTATTCACTAAGTAAAAAAAAACAAAAAAACTTTGATTTAATGTTGAATAAAAAAAAAGCAAAGTTAACTGACTAACGAATAGGCATGATTTTTTTTCTTCTACATGTCAATATGAAAAATAAATTAGTTTTTTTCTATTTTTTTTTCAACAAAAGAGTTGCTCGACACTACAATGGCTTCATATACGAGAATCTCAACATGTGAATGACACAATACGAAGTTTGTATACTTCACAAAGCTCTTGATTAGAAGTTTTATTTAGAGACAAAATAAGTTCAAATTTTTATTGAATTATATCTGTCATGTCGGTCTTTTGTTCCGAACAAAGACTTTACCCCTTTGTTGTTTTTTGAAAAAAGACATCAGTACTAAATCCCATCAAATAGACATGTTGATACCTTCGTATACCACAGATCAAGTCATATTGAAAGAAGTGGCTTCATTATTTCATTTGTCATTAATTACTCTTTTGAAAAGCGACTGGTTATCGTTTATGATAAGATGGATTATGCTAAATTTTGAATTTAAGCGTCTATCATCAGATTTATACTTGTGTCTGCACTTGAATTTTGAGTCTCATTGAATCATATGACTATGACATATTCAAGTGTACCTAAATTTCATCGAACAGATGCATATGTTACGTATATCTGATGAAATATTTATCCTTGTGCCATAACTTCGAATTCAAATGAATATTTCGACTCAAAAAAAACGAGAATTTTTTCAAAATCTCACAATAAAATCGATAGTTTCTTATTCATTCTCGCAACTGTATCGTTCGGTTATGTTCTCTTAAACGCCACCAATTAGATGATAAGCTATGGTTTCAATGCACTTGTCAGTTACTACAAAAACAACTGTCACAATTTCGTTGACGTCATTTTTTTTTCTGAGATGGGTTTTTAATTTATTTATTGCCAATAATTCAATGATCAATCTATCAACGACTTACATCTATTGTTGATTAGTAGAAAACATTTGAGAGTTTCACGAAAAAAACAATGTGCATCATTATTTTGTCCAATCGTTCACAGTAACTTTGTTCCACACACATCGTTTACTTCGAATTTGAATTTGTTTTTTTTCAACGCTTATTTCCCCGATATGACGAATCGGTTCGTTGAAATCTCTGCAGCGAATTTCAATTAATAAATCTGAATGACAAGTTCCTGGAGTGATTACTTGTTCAATATTCTCTTTCTCTTTGTATTGATCAATCGTTGGCAACGAATCAAACATCGTATATTTTCAAAGAATCTTTGAATACGTTTTGTTTTTCCTATTACAATCAGTAAGTGTCAGAGAGCATCGTGTCATCATGGAGTCTAAGCCGTATACTATCTTTCTGTGATTTCTATATACGGGAGTATCCAACCAGTGACGTACTTCAGTATTATTTTTGATATAGCCTATAGGCTATACATCAGAAAAGTATGTTTTTTAAATCATTTATGGTAGATACAATTTGCTCATTGGTTTGAACTTTGTCATTTGTATATTAAACAATGATTTAATCTAAGACATATGTTTAATTAAAACACTCTAAGAAAAAAAATTAATAAATAAAACACTTTACTAACAAATGATAGAGTTTAAACAGAAACTAATATAGTTAACATTACGCATGTGATGTAACTCATAGAAAAATTATGCTTTTTTTCAATACACGACTTGGAATTTGTTATCTGATAAGGCACTCTCATATTTATAGTATTTCTCACAACACTCTGTAACTTTAGCAACGAAATCTTAGACATATAAATGACAATGCGTGAAACTTCATATGTTGGCAATAGTTTATTGGACAATTTGAACGGTACACCGACAGTTGAGCCCTCGACAGTTGAGCCCCGACAGTTGAGCCCCGACAAATGAGCCCCCGACAAATGAGCCCACCGACAGTTGAGCCTACCGACAGTTGAGCTCCCGACAAATGAGCTCCCGACATTTGAGCCTCATAGGAGAAACAAATTAAAGAAATAGAAAAATTTATTTTATATTAGTATCAAAAATTAAAGAGAGCTCTTGCTCTTTTGAAATAAATATCTGTTGGTATGACGTAAAATGTTGAAGCTAGTATCTGTAATTTTTCATCAATAAGTTCATATTTGACTATTATTAAACGTCTACTAGGATCTTGATTGTTGTACAATAGAAAACGTGCACCACCATTAGTTATTTGTAATTCATCAGGAATTACGATTTCAGTGTATGTCTGTGGTCGTGGTAAAGGTATGTCATTTCTTTTTCTTTTACGTTCAATTGTTCTTTGTGATGAATGATATGTTGGTACAGCTGCACCATCATTTTTATCAACATTTTGTAGTGCTTCATAAATTATACGACGTGGAGGATCATGAGATGTGGTTGCACTGGTTGTAATTTTTGATTTAAATTCAGCTGATATAGTTGCTTCCGGGTTGGGTGCATGTACATGTTCTGTTATTTTATTATATTGATCACCATCAAAAGCAACACGACCAGCACAATCGTTTCTCGAGCAGCGCCATATTCTTTGTGATTTATTTGCACGACGATAAGAATAACCTTCGAGTAAAAGTTTATCGTGTCCTTTGGAAGACTTGACAATTGACATTATGTACTGATAATCAAATTAGATGAACAACAATGAGAATCAAACGAATACAAGAAATATCGAAAAAAAATAAATCGAACAACTTTTTCGTCTTATTACTTTTGATTGGCCCGCTAGAGAAGTTAGATATAAACGAATTTCTGGAACCATAAGATGTCACATGTTTACACTTTTTTTTAATATTGAACCACTAATTTATCTAATATTAATTTTTCTATTTCTTTAATTTGTTTCGCCTATGAGGCTCAAATGTCGGGAGCTCATTTGTCGGGAGCTCAACTGTCGGTAGGCTCAACTGTCGGTGGGCTCATTTGTCGGGGGCTCATTTGTCGGGGCTCAACTGTCGGGGCTCAACTGTCGGGGGCTCAACTGTCGTGTTGCCAATTTGAACATATTAAATTCGAATGATTTCGTTTCAAATTTTATTTTTGATTTCTAAATACTAAATTTTGTTCCAAAGGTCTCTTATGACGAAGATATGTATATTTTAACAACGTCCAAGTACAAGATCACGAACGATTCCTTTCTTTATAAATTCAGTAAATTCATCTAAATTGAGTCTATAATCATTGTTTGTATCAGCAACTTGAAAGTAACGAAGAAGCATGTATGAATTTGAATTAGGTACAATAGCAGGCATAAACACAGCCAATTCACCAATATCAATAGTGTCTGAATTATCAGTGTCTAATAGACGAAATGCTTCAGGTATATCTTCGATTGCATGATGTCCCATCAGTAAGGGTCGTGTAATTTTTGTGAATTTATCAAATGATAACGTCGGCTTCTTAATTGTAGCAGCTAGTCGTTCAAATTCTTCTCTCTTGACACTAATACGATATTGACGCACTTTACCATTGGCATAAATTTCGTCAAACACATATTCAGCTTCAGTAATATGATTGCTCGTTCGATGTAAAATTTCACGAATACGAATTCGATAATTGTCATCCATCCTAATGCAAAAAGAAACCTAGCTAGAGTAATGTAAAAAGATCCTATGTGCTCACATGATCACATACTTGTTTTAGTGAAATTATTGCTAAAAGCAATCGATTACAGTTGCTACTACTGTTCTGATAAAAATGAGACAAAAACACACAATAACAAATGTCTTATATAGTTGTTTTTTTTCTTTCTTCTGGGACTTTTATAGCTACTAACTAGGCAATTCATACAACAACATTGATTTGATAAGAGAGCACCGAATCGAGAAATATCTCACCAATTTTATGCACAGTTTCATACTTTATGTATTGTATATGGAAAATGAAGATAGGTATTTTAGTTTTCTGTATAGTACAATCTGAAAATTTCATTTTGTATCATATTCAACTGATGATTATCATGTGTTCAGATTTTCTTCGTTATTCAAGGTTATTAACCTAATGGTGTGAATTGTGTTTTTACCATTTCTTCACACTCTTTGTTTTACTGACGGATAGATTTTTTTTAATTGAAATGGAAAGAAACCAATTTATGTGGTTAAAGGCATGCCATTTCATAAATTGCTATCTACAGGCATTGATATTTTCATTAGAAATCAAAATAATATTATTGTTCTTTCTATTTCCTTTAAATCAAACACCGAGTTACACAAACATAAACCTCTTCTTGTTAAATCGAAATATATCATGGAATTTCTTGAAGCAGAAGAATATTGCTGACTGGAGAAGTCACCATTATATAATTTTACCAAATTTTAGAATTCTCTAATACTATTTTGTGATTAGAAGGGACTATAATTTTGATAGAGTACAAATAATAATGAAATCATTATCCGGGTTCTTTTTTGTCAATTAAAATATGAACAAAAAAACCCAGATAGCATAACTTTTCAATGTCACCATTTGGACTTCAACTATTTCACATCTTTCACTCGATTACTGATCCATATCGAGTACATGACTTAAAGAACAACATAAATACATTAGTACTTAGAATTGCTGAATTGACAAGAATCGACAAAAACAGAGTTGTGTATTGCTACAGTTACTAATTGTATGGTATATGATTGGATTTAATAGCGGATATTGAAGATGAATAGGCTGTTAATCAAATGGGAGACAGTTACCTTTAATTAGTTTTAAATTAACTGCATCATTTTTATCGAAAAAAACTAATTTAATAAAATCAATTGCTTTAATCAAAGAAATCAATGAAAAACATCAACGTTTCATCTTATTTTCCAAAATATCAATTATCTTATTATATTATTGCCCTGTATAAAACGTAGTTTTTGACTTTTAGGACTTCTTGAACAGTTTTAAACTCTTAATAAGTAATATTACAGAGACATGAAGCTTTTATAATAATATTAAAATGTCTTTAGCATTTATGATTTTAATCTTTCCTTTGTTATTCACAGCTAAAAATAGATACAAAAAATATTAAATTTTAAACGGAATTAACTATTTTTATCGAATACGAAGAAAAAAATGTACTAACATTCGTAATATTTCTTCTATAAGTATATATATACGGACTGTTCTAGAAATTCGAAAATGATTGAAAAGCTTATTGTTTATGTATTCAACAAAGACAAACTTTTTTTTTGTAATTTTTATCAAATCATTGTACTAACTTAGTGCTAGATAACTACTAAAACTTTCGATTGATAGCTTTTACTCCAGATGAGAAACTATGACAATATTATCATGCATTACTTTATTCGGGTTAACAACTGAAATTAAATTTAAAAATTTTGAATTTCGTGTTTATGTTCCCAAATGAGAAGACACGGTTGTAAATCGATTATAGTTTTTTGTTGATGTTCATTGCTCGTAGTATTTTATACAAAAAATGAAAGAAAAGAAAACTCAAAAAAGAGCATCTACTTTGTGCAAGAATCTTCGATTTATTAAGTGGCAGCTAATGTCATTATGAGGCTGAAAGAACTAGTTACACAGATCGTATTCTATCTGCGTATCCGAACATAGCTATCGGACTGAGGAAAAGACGTGAACTAAGCTGAGACTAAGAATCGAAATCGATGTAGAAATCTTGCTTAGAAAATTCGTTGAAAACCTGATCGAATCTGGTCTTTTATAGCCACATTTCTTTGGCCACGGTGAGAAATCGATGAGAATTTCTGTTTTAATGAATGAGTTTAAAGTACATCCGTATTTATGTCAAATTTATCATTGTGATGCAATTTTTTTTATTTTTCAACTTTCTGACATGTAGTCATTTTCTATCTCATGATACTTCTTTCTCGTCTTTCAATGAATGAAAATTTTGTTTTTTTGAACTAAACTGTGAACGAACAATCACTTCTAACGAAAATTTATTATGAATTCGTTTTATACATTTTGAAACTGCGGATTAATAAAAAATTTTCCTCCACCTGCATTCCGTCTGACACATTCATTAAATGAAACATGTTCACATTGTTCTCGACTAAACCACCATCTTTTATCCATCCAACCATTGTACATACAATCTTTAGTCAAATATTGAGCTGCATAGATAGCTGCTCCGCCAAAAGCTGATTGAACTTCAATCAATGAATGATTACGTGGTATCGCCTTGTTGTGAATAACAACGGCTCGTCTAATTTGTGATTTCCAAGCGAGAGAAAAAAATGATCCTTGTCGTGCCCGTTCCCAAAAATCATATGTTATTGTTGGCCATGAACGTAATGCCCATGCATCATAATATGAATCTGTTTGTGAAGCTGTCATGACTGCCCATGATGATAAAGGATAAATGAAATTTGTAAGAAAATTGTTGACACTAAATGTTTCCGTAGATGTAACATCAACATCAAGTACAAAATAATAATCGAACCATGGCATATCAGTTCGTGCACGTTGAAAAAGATAATTTCGACAATGAGCAAGACGTGAAGTGCCTAAATACAAATTTGTTTTAGATGAAATTCTTTTTTTTATTCAATGTAATTGGGAAGTGTTTGTACTGGAGAACTATAAGAAGCACATTCTACGATTGTTTGCATAACTAGATTATGTTCTTTCAGTTGTCTTTGACAAATTTTTCAAACTCTTCCAGAACGACACTTTTAAGTTTCTACAGGAAATCCAGAATGATGGTTTCTTGTCATGCGACAAAAAAAATGGCAATGTGCACCAGTGTTTCCAACCGAGAAAATGATGGAGTTTAGTAGTATTCTTAATTGCGAAACCTCGAAACAGATGTAAAGCGATCTGATAAGTCTCCGAAAATTTTTTAATGTGATATGAGATTGCGTAATATTTTTTTAAATCCATATTTGCATAATATTTCAGAAGACTTCAAAGATGCTTTATCAAAAATCAGCATCCTCCTGTCCTTCCGAAGCCTAGAAATTGAAGTTTTTCGATTTTGTTTTCATTCTCCACATATATATATCCCAGATGTATCATCTATAAAGTGTCGTATTATTGCTAGTTATTCATCATCAGTCATTGATTTCACTTAAAACCAATTGTGGAAGCGTTTTCCAGAAAAATTCACTGTGACTCTTCTCTTCTATAACAAAGTCTCGTTATAATAATAATGGTCTTACATTTCAGAGTGTATTAAGAAAGAGTCATAGACTTTCCACACCGCTAAGTAATCTTAACTTTTGATTGATTTCGTTGAAGAAATACAAACTTCTAATGTGTGCTGAAAGTTGTTTTATAGTATTTCTCTGTTGTTCTCGAAATCAATCTGCGAAAAAGAAAATCAAAGTTTCCATATTTTTCTCCTGATATTTCGATTGACTAAATTCGATGTTTTCAAATAGTAACTTCAATCGAATCGGGCCATCGTGTGCTTTTTGAAAAGAATACTGCATCAGTAAACCTAAACAAGTTTTACAAAATTTGTATCAATTGCTAAAAGTTTGACAAAGTGTCACAGAATAACTATCAGTATTTTCATATTCATTTTTTCAAGAATTCATTATTTTTGAAATAAAAAATCTACACTCTAATTTACTCATAATTACTACATCAAAATTTTCAGCGATTACACATGAGTTGAAGACCCTGTTGTCATCCTTTATGCTCGTTATATCTTATAAAAGCAAACATACGAGTCGCTCTTTAAAAATCTTGTAAAGATAAAGATAGTACTCTTAAGATAAGTAGATAGAGTTTGGATGCGAGTCTTCTGTTCATAAGCACCTTATCCATGCTCACATCTTTAAATGATTTACTTACGGAAAAATAAGCGCCGTCGTTGTTGTCCTGCAGTATAAACACTAACATGATTAGAATCATTTTTCGACCATTCTTGCAGAAATTTCAATGTGCCATCATCAGAATCTGATTCTCCCAAATAGAGATGATAAGATCGAAATAATGCACCAATAGCACGTATATTTTTTTGAAAACCAATAAGATGATTTTCGACATTTCGACAACAGGCTGTGATAACTAATGTAAAATTTGTTAGATTAACTTTATCAATTGTTGTTATTGGTTCTGGACGTGACCATCCTGTTTGATATGTTCGACTATCTTCCCAAAAGGCTACTGATGAATTTGGAGGCTTACTCATAAAATATTCGTATATGAATTCGTAAGCAAAACGTACGATACTTAATATTAGAATACTAAGACAAATCATTTTAAATGCTCTGGAGATACAGTGTCGATATCGTCTCATGTTGTTATTCGTCAATATTTAACTGTCTTTTTTTTTGTGTCGATCTTGTCCTAGTTGAGAAACAATACATATTAATCAAGATAAATAGCTTGAGTAAATAAAAACAATAACCCACATGTAACTATTCAAGCGCAAATGTACCCATTGACAGTTAGTCCTCGATAACTATGTGTTTTGTTCTTCTATACTCTTATCAACAAATAGCACGTATCATATATTGATTGTATTTATTCTGAACTGAAAATATTCTACATAGAATTACAATACCTATGGAAAAACTTAGGGTTTCTTTTGTATGTTGCTCCTAACTAAGGTTTTAAGTAAGCCATGAATTATTCTACTCAATGAATGACATTAGATTTCGATGACTTATATAAATATGATTATAGAAGAAATAATTCGATGAATATCCATGCAAATCGATTGATAACAAAGCTCATTGAAGGAAATCTCAAAATGGAATCTACTGCTAGCATAGAACGTATCTATTTTAGACTATTACTTAGGTCTGACCAAAAGTTCTGCAATCGTTATTGGCAATTTTATAAACCAATCAACATTCAAGAGGTTGTTGCATGGATAAATAGTGGAATGTCTTGTCTATAATAATATATATAGTAAATCTATTTTGGACTTAGTTATAGTACTTTTTCAGATAAACTTTCGTTTGAACCAAAAAAAATTTTTTTAATGGATAATGAACTCAATCGATATTATATAAAAATTCGAACTATTTTGGGAATAGATCCAAAGACAATTCATGAAGAACTTGTAACAGCTTTGGGACCCAATGCTCCATCATATACAACAGTTACAAGATGGGCAAAACGTTTTCGTGAAGGAAGAGAAGAAGTCAATGATGATCCTCGATTTAGTCGTCCAATATCCGAACTTACAGATGAAAATAGGGGTGGTACTTTACTTTTACTTTATAAAATAAAAGTAAATGAATCCTTTACTCTTAAAAATAAAGATAAATGGATCCTTTATTTTTTTAAGAGTAAGGATTCATTTATCTTTATCCTTTATTATAAAGGAAAGTAAAGATAAAGGGTCACCCCTAGATGAAAATATTGAACTGGTTCGATAAGTTATCAGTAATGATCCACATTCAACTTATGATGAAATTATAGCTGAGACTTCTCTCTCTCACGGTACAATAGAACGAATTATCCACGACTGTCTCAAAATGAAAAAAGTTACATCTCGTTGGGTACCCCATGAACTAACTGATGAACAAAAACAACAACGAGTTCAACTTTGTCGTGAAAATTTGGCCAAATTTCAAACTGGTTCTGGGCGATTATGTGATATTATAACAGGTGATGAAACATGGATTTACCATAGACAGATTTATCACAAGTCAAAGAACGCAAGCTGGGTTGGCGAAGGTGAATCACCAACTACTGTAGTTCGTCGAAGCAGATTTGAACCAAAAAATTTATTTTCTATTTTCTTTAAATCAAATGGTCCTGTTCTTATACATTGTGTTGATGAAGGCAAGACTATAGATCACAACTACTATATTGAAAATTGCCTCAAGCCTGTTGTCAAGGAAATATTGAAGCAAAGAAGGTCAGCAGGTACACAAGGTATCAAATTGCTTCACGACAATGCTCGACCCCACACTCATTCTGATGTTATTAATTATCTAACAGAACAACATATCAAAATAATGCCACATCCACCATATTCACCTGACCTTGCACCATGTGATTATTGGCTTAATGATTACATCAAGTGTAATTTAAGTGATCAACCAAATGAAAAATCATTAGCTCGTGCGGTATTCAAGGTGGTGAAAAATATTCCTGAAGAAGAATATAAAAAAACTTTCGACAAACTGTTAGAAAGGATGGAACTTTGTATAAATAATCATGGGGACTATTTTGAACATTTAATAAAATAAAACTCGAACTTTCTCTTTTTCTTTAACTTTTTTTTTTTTAAATTGCAGAACTTTTGGTCAGACCTAAGTATTTAATGAAAACTTTAATAGTTCGACGATGCTTTTAATTTTAAAACTACACGCAGATCTTCATCAAAAGAATGAGATAAATATAATAAAGGATAATATTTACCAAATTCTGATTGTTTTATCAAAATGTCACTAGAAATGCATAAAACTGTATTCTAAACAAAATTTTTCATCTCGAAAGTTTAGTTGTAGATCTTTATTTATAGGATGTGATATGACTACGGTATGTTGACTCGAATATTTATTAATAGATACACATAATGACAAACCATTTTAATCATATGTACCTGATATTTAGATCTTACGATTATTACGAAAAGTTACGATTTTAAATGCGATTTTGTTGCAGTGCAAGCAATGCTTTACTTCCGACCAGAGATGAGCATGAGGGCGTCACAATCAACGTGAGTTCTATAAGGCAGGCCTAAGGTCACGTTGATTGTGACGCCCTCGTGCTCATCTCTGCTTCCGACTGTTCAGTATTTTATTCATAAAAAACGAAATGCTGAACACAAATCATGAATGAATCAATCATTATATTTGCACTTGTTATACTTATCATTCCAAATGCTGTAAAAAGCAGATTTCAAAAAATAGTACCTGTCGTAAATCTCCAATCAGAACCGACATGACTAGAGAAACGCCTATCGAATCATACCCTATTCTTCGATTTGAGCCTATAGATGAGTGTAGGATTCTTTTAAAGATTTATCTTTTCATCATTACATTCACCATCATTCCTTCTATCATCTTGTGTGGATATTGATCGAACTCCTATGCCTATAACATACGTACTTATTTAGATATGTCATCGAATATGAGATCTTCGATTCAACAGTTTGCCTGAAGTTAAGTCGTGGTTTACATGAAATGACTTATGCACAAGCATCGCATATTGACTGATATTCTAGAATAGTACTTCATAGAAATATCTAATTAAAACAGAAAAATCAGGGAGTGCACTCAGATCAAAAAATCAAATGCAAAATCTTACAATATCTTACCATAGGATTGTTTGCTCCAGGTGACTATAGTTTAATTATGCGTATCGTTTGAGCATACAAGGGTTTTTGTGAATGTTTATGTACGCTTCGTAGTCAGTAGGACACAACTCTAGTGCACTTTTACAATCTACTAATTCACTTCAAGAATATCCTGATATGGATTTTTAAGATCTTTTCGTCTTTCCATTTTTGATGGTAGATCAACTCATTTAAAGTCGGGGATTTCAATTGTAGAGATTACTATCAGCTATTCTCCAAATCATATCTTCTATATTTTTTTTTCTTTCGCTTGATTTTTTTTCCTTGTTGGTTGTAGTTTCTACTTTGCTCTTGTTCTCAATCATCTTTTTTTTTCTTGATTTTTCATTGATGTCTGAGGCTTCTTCTTCAGAATTCTTGTTGTTACTAGGTGCAATCGTTATTGGATGATGTGTCTTAGTTATGCTGTTTATTTTGATTGTAGCTAATCACCGATCTTTACTCTTTAGTATTGTTCATCATAATAAATCTTTCAACGACAGAGATCAGAGAACAGATAGTCTAACATCAGTTAAACTGTCGATACTATTCGATTTCTTCTTGTCTAAGACAACACTCTAAATAGCTAGAATATTTATCAGAGTCAGAACTTCATAGGATCTTTTTTAACAGCCCAAAACTTTATATCAATCAACCGATGTATCCGAAAAAATATTCTTGTTAAATTGTACAGTTGAAGATATTACAAAATAAATATTAAAAATATTTATTGTGTTGTCGGGGTTCTCTTAGGACAAGTCGAATGTTTCCGAAAGTAAATATGTATGGATAGAATTTTGGAAATACCCATTCATATCGTACCATAAAAACACATGAAAATACGGTTCAAGTGTTCATGTATCCAACAAAAAAATAGAGTATAATTTACCAGAAATGACCATCAAATTATATGGATATTACTGCGTACGATTTTTGTAAGTAACGGATGTGCCAGATTGAATGGCCGCGTTTGGTATTTCAATTTTCATTTTGCTTAATATAGTGTATTATAAAAACAAAATAAACCAAAAGATGCAATGTGAAAAACTCTACAATTTACATAGACCAGCTTTTTTTTGATAGTTGAACTTTTTGCTTCGAAAATGGACGAAATTTTGAGCGATCGAATTTCGACCGTACGAAAATTGATCGCAGAGAATTTTGATTTTTTTTTTGAAAACAATTACAATAAGCTTTATTGTATAAATTGTAGAGCTTTTCTCGGTGCATCTAGTGATGTATTTGTTTCTTTTTTTTAAATAAAAGATACAAGATGATAAAAAGATGAAATAACAGAGACAAATCCATCTTGTACAAAAAAAATATCGTTTTCGCACTGTCAAAATTTCATCGCTCAGCCGATTTTGAAAATAAAAAGTGTAACTATAAAAAAAAAACAGTCGTATGTAAATTGTAGAGCTTTTCACGCTGCATCTTTTGGTATATTCTTTTTTTAAATACAATATATTAAGTAACTGAAAATTGGAATGCAAAACGCGACCATTCAACCTGGCGTACCCGTTATTGCTACAGCAATCTCCATAGATGATCATGCCTTCTACTTTTTTTAACAGCAATGACCAGTATTTAAGCTTTTTGTTTATTTTGCACGAACTATTGATGCACATCATGGGATACAGATGAGAGCATTTACATCCTTTCTGTTATCAAATTACAGCTTAATGAAAAGATGAATATTTCTTCAAAGAAAAAAATAGGAAATCATTTTCTTATCAAGGCATAACTATGATCCACACATGCCAAATACTGATGTTTCACGATATTTACGAATCAAAAGATATTGACTCGATAGGTATAAAATAACTGATGACATAGAAGTTGTACAAAAATTCGATCGTCAACGGTCTACAACCAAAAACTAAGATACAACAATTTAGTCGATGATAGTTCAACATCCAATCGAATTTGCAGACCAAAATGCATTTAGATTATCAAGGGAAGGTATAACAATTAGTGAAATCACATTAAGAAGAAGATTGAAAGAATTCAATATAAAATCGATGAAATCAATTTCCAAATCGTTGTTCATGAGTGTTCATATTAAAAGAAGATCTCAATGGGTTATGCAACACAAAGATGTTGACTGGAACGAAGTTGTTTTTCCGGATGAGAGTTCATTTCATACAAAACAAGTGTTTAAAGATGTGTGGAAAAAATGTAGTCAAAAAATATTATGTCTCAATAAATAAATATCCTGTTGAAGTTCACTTTTGAGAATGTTTTAGCAAACAATAGGTTTAGGAAACTGGTATTATTTACATCAAAATTAAACTCAAATTTTATGTGAAAAATTTACAAAAATGAAGTCCTACCGTCAGCAAAGAGATGGTTTGACCATAATAAATCTTATTGGAAACTGTTAGAAGATAATGATCCGAGATATATTTCAAAACAAATTAAAATGTTTAAGTTCAACAATAGCATACAATCATTATCTTCGCCATCGTAGTCTACCGACTGTAACCTAATCGAAAATGTTTGGACATCAATGAAACTCAGAATAAACAAACAAGCACCAACGTCAATAAAGAATTTCATTGCAAGAGTTAAAAAAAAACAAGAATAGAAAAATTTACCTGTTGAATTTGCTGCCAAATTTAGTCAAATTGTTAATTAAAAGATAAAGGCGATTGTATTAATTATTAAAATGGTGTACATACGATATAGATTTTACAAATAGAATATAATAAAATAAATCTTTTTTCTTTTTCGTTTTTTGAATCGTGACTACTCAATGTAGATTTCTGTATGTGTAACAGAACAAGACAAAAAAAATCCAATACACAACTAAAATGCAAAATGTTGCTACTGATTTAACACGTGTGTATGTTGCATAGTGAATTCGTATAGAAGACTTTTCAAAATAAGACTTTTTACTGTTCTTCAAAAAAAAAAAACCTTGCTGCTATGAGCATGTTGACGTTGCATTAAAGACATTCTGATATTCTTTTTTATGACAATATGGTGAGTGTAGAATGAAAAGGATCGATCAATATCATAATTGTTATTATTGGAATTAATAATTGAGAACTAGCGGCCTTGCCCGTCATTCTGAAAACAAGATCCGGCCTGTCTGGTATTGCTCGTAGAAAATCATATCAAATGTTTACCACGGTTTATTCGATTTCAGTTGAAAAAATTCAAGAAAACGTTTCCGACCTAGATGAGAACGAATAAGTGAATGTTGCTCCTCTGCCATTTTCATATTCTGTGATGCTTTAATTGTTATTACTGTTGTTGATGACCAAAAAAAACGTCTATCTTTCCGATATTGGATAAAGAAAAAGTGACTTTTTCATCTTCTCTTTCTCACTCAACAAAAAAAAAGTTCTATTAACATTGTAGCATGATGTTCTTCAAATTGAAATACTATTTTACGATATTTCTCTGCGAATGGTAGATAAATGTCAATTATAAAACAATCATCATGAAATTTCGTGTTTTATGAGTAGAAACGCTGTATGACATCTCTCTGTTTCGTTAATCTGCCTGCTAGTACATATTTTGTCTGCTGACAGAGTGCTATATCGTGTTGGAAAGATGTGTATTATCATCAGTTAAAACTTTTCTTTTCGTCCTCAAAGTGTTGTTTTCCTTAATAGAAGAACGTCTGTGTCATTTTTCCCAATGTTTTCTTTAATTAAATATTAGTTATCCATCTATAAAATTCAATCATCTCATTCCATTGTTTTTAATTATCGTTCTATCTGTCATATGATGATGCTAATGAATAGAGTATACTGTACCACAGAATACTTATTTGCATAATCTGTGTATATTGAAAAAAATGTTTTTTGTCTTTTCGTTGATTCATCTTAAATTCTTCGATGACTGACACTAAGCAAAACATGAGTTGCGTCAACTGAATAATAACATCAATAATTACCGTCAGGGGCTAGTCGTAACAATCATTTCTTCCTATGTCACTTTTACATTTTGTGATTAGCTTTATTATGTTAGAAACTCGGTAAGGATTTTAATAAATTCATCAAGTTGAAAATATGCATCCGTTATATTATTGATGAAAATATATGAGAAAATTACTAACAATCACAATCGAATATGTATGACACTGAGTGATGGTGTTCTGTCCCTAGTGTCATCATTGATGGTCTGGTCCGATGATAATTTATTATGATTTATAGTAGTTCTCTTTGGCCCTACAAACCAATGACGAGCAGAGATAATCCAATAGGCACCTGCAAGGAATGCTACGCCACCGACGATTACTACAGCATAGTTCATATTATCTTTGGTAACCGGATATTCAGCAGGAAAGAACATGATGATAGATGTAATAAAAAGCCAAGCGGCGGAGATAATAGCGATGGGTAGACTGAATCGACCTAAATTGAATTCACCGATTGGGAAAGTGTGTCTTGCTGCTGTACATCGGAAGAAAATAGGCATAAAATAGGATATTTGATAACCAAGTGTAGCTATGGAAAGAATAGCAGTGAAAGCAGTCGTTGATGCTAATTGAAGAAGGAGAAGAAGACAGTCAATGACAAAAACAAATATCACATTGCCCAATGGAGTTTTTGTTCGCTTGAATATCCAACGTAGATACACCGATAGTGGAAATACACCATCACGAGCCATAGCAAAGCTAGAATGAATGAGATGTTATTAACTAGAAAAAGAGAAAGCAAAACATATTCGACTAGCTAATATATACCCAATTCGACTGGTCACTGTCAATGACGACATACCCGCAAAATACAAATTAAGAATGAGTAGAATGGTCAATGCAAGTGCGCCTTTTTGGGGTACAGCAAGCTGATAGGTAGCAACAGCAAGGTTTTGCGTTGAGTTATCTCCACTATTGTTATCCACAAACGAGCTCACATCCGGAATGGCAAAGAGTAGAGCAAGCAAATAAGCAAAACCAGTGATAGCACTGCATATGCAAGTGCCTACGATTCCTTTTGGAGCTTAAAAAGAAGAAGAATCAATCATTTTATTGACAATTATTCTCTGAGATCTCAATTTTGTTTCGAATATTTACTCACCTGCGCGGCTTGCATCTCTTGTTTCTTCTGCCAAATGAGCACCAGCTTGAAAATTCGAAGATAATAAAAACATATTCAAATCTTAAAAGGTTTACCTTCATAGCCGGAGAATGAAAAAAGCGTTGAAAGGATACCAATGAAGCATACATATGGAAATGGAAATCCAGTACCATTGTATGTCGATGTAAAAACGTTATGAGCCGTAGCTCGTTCAGGAGCCATAGCAAGAAGTACTGTAACAATAGTAACTGCCGATCCAAGCTGAAATATAACAGCAAAATTATTGAGCCAGCCTTGTTGATCAATACGCAACGCGTTTTGAACAGCCCATATAAAAGTGATGCCTATAGCAATGCCCACTTGGGCACCCGTGCTTAATGAATCTTTGCCTTCGAGAATAATAGCTGCATTAATAATCGTAGCAAAGCCAGATGCAAACGCAACATCTCCTGCAACATGTTTTAAAACATAAATCGATTGACTATTTGATCATTTTCCTACCTGCAAAGTTCCCTATGAAATTGAACCAACCACAAATAAACGAAGCCAATGGTGCATGCTTAGCGGAGACCAACTGACCTGCCCTACAACAAAAGAAACGTATTTTTATCATCAATTGGGTGGCGTGCAACTTTCAATATCATACCAATGATATACAGATCCAGCGCTAGGGTATACAGAACATATTTCAGCTAAAGAAAGTCCGATGAGGATAGTAAATATAGCTCCAATAATCCATGCCCATATTGTCACACCTGATCCACCAGTGTTGAGTGAATATGTAAAACCGATTGAAATTGATGTGAGGACATTGACAGCAGTGAAACAGAAAGCAAATGACATAAATGGAGAAAAGCCACGATAGAGTTCCTGCGTGTAACCCATTTCACGAAGAAGACGTACATCAGGATCTTCAATTTGCACCATGTTTGTTTTCGTGGTTTACTTCAAGATAAATAATAGCTTAGGAGATGTTGACTCTGTCTTAAAATCTAAAAATTAAGATTTTCCACGGGATCCGTTTAGTGCTACACAATCATTTACCATTGAATTTTCGTTTGAAAAACAAATCTTAATCATTCAAATTTTATTTTACTAGAATTCATTTAAGAACTAGTCATATGATCGAAAATGATTGCAAGACTTAGAAGAGCATTATTTGTTCGATACATTCTATAATAACTCTCACATATGACAAGAAATATTATATTGTCTTTGTTTACTGCAAAGTACCGGACAAACATGGTAGATGGTGAAAATTGTCCGTAAATTCCTTTCACTTTTCAATTAACTCCAAGATCAAGACACAATTAACGTATCTTTCAGAAGACGAATCTACTAGAATAGAAAAGTTAAATATCTGTACTATTGTTAGTGACATACAATGTCTACTTATATAATTCATAATTTAAGAAGTAAGTAAAATTTTTGCTTTACTCATGTATCAAAACTTTGATGATCGAGAACTTTTTAGTTTTCGTCATATTACGACTCATAATCTATAGTATCACCATAGAAAATTGTACGTCGCTTCATCACATCTATGCAGTTCTTATTGCTAATACAATCAATGTATGTTCTTTTTTATTCTTTAATAATTACCCGAAGATTATCTATTTTTGGGAATCTTGGGATTCAGTTTGAATAAAAACTTATTTTTGTCATATATCACTTGAAAGAGTAAGTTGTACTTTGTAAAATACCTACTTTAATTTGTAGTTGTCTTCAGGTTTTTCTTAAAAAAGTGTCGTTTTTTATGATTCACATCAGAATTTCCGAAAAAAACAAGACACTGTAATGACAAGTTTCTTCAGTCGTAACATTTTATAGATAATTTAAAAAGTTACGAAAAACTGGATCAAAAAAGTAGATTTGAATAAGTATTCAATGATTACAAGTCGACTTGGCCATCCTTAACGTACACCACATAGTCGGACATACGACTATTTATTTTTTGCCGTCGTATGTTGAAATACTAGCTATAAAAACTTAAAGAAAATAGAATACCAATTTACTTTTTCGAATGGAGTATGATGAAGATAAATTTTCCTTCAAAAATGACGCCTAAGATTTCCCAAGAAATTTTGTGTAACAGTTACAGAATGAAAGCGGCATACTTTATTTGCTTTGACAACAGGAATTGTATACATTTGATGAAGCAACCTAAAATTGTCTCTGATGATAGTATAGACTATGAATTGTTGTAAAATGAACACTAGGCCGTTTCAGATCATCGAGGATTTGATGTATAAGTAAAACAAAAAAAATTCTATCGCTTCTCGAATCATATAAACACCATTGTGTTATTGTAAAACATAGTTATAGCATAATTTACTTTCTGTTTATTAACATTACATAAACCCATTTTGTTCAATCAAACATGATAGGAGTTTGTAACCCGTTAGGAATTTACATACTTTTGTCTAATCTTTTATATTCATGAACTCTTTTAGATATATGTATTAAATTAACTGCTCAGATGAAGGGCTTATGATTCTATGGTTATCTTTGAAACATACAAAGATAAATTTTTTAGATACAAATTTGCTGTCTTCACATATTCAAAAAAGGATTTATACAATAGTGATAAGCATATAATGAGCATTGATCATTATGTACTTTTCTTTACAATGATGTGAACGTTTAGTGAAAACGTACTTCAAACAAAAAAAAGAACTCAAGAGATGAAGTTTTTGTTAAATATATCTGATGAGTCAGTGCAGCTCGGAATGTTTTTTTTTGCGTGAAAACAATGAAAAAAATATTTTCGCTTAGGAGTGAATGACGCTTCATACATATGCATGATATCAATCTTCTGTTGTTTTCAATCAACGAATTATTTTACTCGAAGAAGTCACCATACAAACCTAATGGTATGCTAAGAAATTCGGAGAGCTTTTTGAGATGACCATGAGTAAGAAGTTCATCTAAATCAGCTGAAAGAAATTTGAATTTTTTCTAACAATACCAATAAAATCAAAGAATAGCACGATGAACAACGCAAGTCATTCATGAATAGTAATTCATTTTTTGCTCGTTAACATTACCTGCATATTTAATTGACGCTCAAATATCGAAATGGTTCGTAACTATATCATTAAAATGAAGAATAAATAGTGTATGTCGAAAAATATATGAATATTTAAAAAAATAAACGTGTCTTTATAACTTGTAGCATAGTATTGACTTCTATGCTGTCGTTTCGATTATGTTACTACATCATTATTTTGTTATTGCTAGCATTATCATTAAAAAATGGGTGCACGCAAGACGACAGCCTCCTAGGAAAAGGAAAAAAAAAGAAAAAGAAATGAGTCTCATCAATAAAAAAAAAGTACAGAACAAGAAAGACTAGTTAGTAATACATACAATTTATTATTGCCCATGTGTGACCTTCCCTTCTATTTCATACGAATGAAAGTGCACAGAAAAAACATCAATATACAATATTCAATCACGATGAAGTCACCTTTCTTTTCGTACGTATTTAATCATGTGGACATTTGTATATGTAAAAAAAGCTGTTCCAAAATAAGATCATTCATTATAAGTATGTAGGAGAAAGAAAAGTGCAACTAAGAATGATACGACAAAGGAAAGGATCAGATTATGAATGGTATTGTATATTCTTACTATTCAAAATCCTAGAATGAATGCTTCAAATATCAATTCTAACGATGATACAGTCACAAATCACTTCCTTCAGTCAAATTCTTCATGAGGTGAATCAAAATATTTCAAACAAGACGTGACTATTTACTATCTCTGAGATTTTGACCTTATTTTCATGCTACCATACATCTTCAGATAAAGTGGTCCCTATGTATGAAAAAGTTGCAAGTACATCTGATAGTATGAAGCAACGAAGTGTATATGAAGAACTTTAAGCCTTCATCAGCTCTTGCTACTCGTAAACTGATAGCCAATATAGAAGTCACTCTATTTTCTTCTCATCGATTAGTTTAAGGCATCCCCCCTCCTCCAAAATCGATTTTCAACATGGTGCATGGAATCTTCATGAAACTTTCTACAGATGCTCGAACCATAAAGATACAAGTGTAAAAAAAAAAATTCATGACTCTAGCCCTTTCCGTTCGGGAGATATACAGGTACCAAGGGGCAAAATGAAGGTCCCACGCGTACAAGGATTTTTTCAATACACTTCGAGATGGAGCGCTCGGGCTGGTCTCATTTGAAAGAGAACTCCTTAGGGCTTCAGATGAGGGAAAGGATTTTTTTAATTTTGATTTTTTTTCTTTGGTAGGATCCCCAAAACTTTCAAGTTCTGAAAATCCTATGTAGGATTTTTCATAAAATACCTGATTGCTCATAGATTGAGAGTGTAATAAAAAATTCCTTCTCGTCATCTGAAGAAGGATATACCTATCTATCAAATTAAAAAAAACCGCAGTTTAATAGAATAAACTATAGTGAAGAAAAATTTGTTCAGAGATTGATATTTTGCAAAAAAACTCGGTTTTGAGAAAAACGATAAACAAGTTTTTTTTGTGAATATTATCTGCTACTAATCTAAAAATGCAAGAATTGCATGCCAATGGTAGATACACGTCACAGTGCATTGCACTATGATTGTCGCGATGTATCGTGTTTGTTTTGAAATAAAATGAATATATAATGAAAAAATCAACTAGTCATTTGTTTTGGGTCTATATAAGTAATAATAGTTACAACTAACTTAAGTTTTTTTACGAAAATCCCATAAAAAACTTAGAGATTCAATAATATCTTTACGGATTTGTAAAGTAGACAACTCAAGCATCATGCCCATGTGTTTATCTCAAAATCCATTTTTTTGACGAAAATCGACTTTTTGGAGAAGGGGGGAGATGCCTTAAGAGATGCAAAGATAAGCTGAAATATGTTCGAGAATCGACTGCTCGCACAGAGTTTTTATTTCTCTACTTGTACTGCACGTATTGAACAGCTAATAAAAATCTTGTCAGTGCACCACTTGATAAACACAACATGTGTAACTTAGGGTGTGGGTGTGGGCGTGGGTGTGGGTTATTGAAAAAGCTAACTCCCACACCCACAAATCCACACCTACACCCACCCACACCCACACCCTCAAGAACCGATATGTTTAATCCACATACATATGTCCTCAAAGCTATGTTAATTATTTATCAGGTGTCTCTCGATATAGAAGAAGCTCAGAATTTTGACGATTTCAATTTTGATTGAGAATTTTAAACTGACTAATTTCTTCGAACGCATATGTGAGTTCCACAAAAGATATCCTAATGCAGCAGAATCTCCAAGGGGGAAACACCGTACTTTGTACTTTAAAGTACTTTGAGGTACTTTGAGGTACTTTAAAGTACTTTGAGGTACTTTGAGGTACTTTAAAGTACTTTGAGGTACTTTAAAGTACTTTGAAGTACTTTAATGTACTTTAAAGTACTTTGAAGTACTTTAATGTACTTTAAAGTACTTT